AGCTGGTGTTTTTTCCCTCTTATTATTTGACCTATTCAGATCTGTTTGCGGACTATCGCCTTTACTATCCTCTATATAATAAAATATACCTTCAGTCCATTTGTTTGGAGTGGAAAGTTTCTTTTACGTCTCTGATCAAATCCCCGAACCTCTCATAACAAGCAGATGGGGAAATAAATATGTAAAATACATATTGTACTTATTTAATAGTAGTCTTTAAGACTTTGTGCCTATGAAAGCTAATTACCAAATTAGGATAAAAAATCACTTTGATTCAATGAATGAGTTCTTCTTTTATGATAAACTTTTCAAACAATATACTAGAGTTATGCCTTCAATGAAAAAAAAAACCTTAATGTCTTAAGTGATATCACTCAAGTTAGTTCTAAATTTTGGTGAGTTTTCAAAAGCAAGGGATGAAAATACCAACTTGCCTGTGAAGCCTTCCCTGACACCCCCAGGCAGCCTTGCTCCTCCACCTCATCCCATTCAGCAGACCGGACGATGACCCCTTGGCTACATTTCTTTTAATCATCATTTGTGAACTCTCTAAGGGTAGTGATCATGTGCATTTATATTAGGTGTTTAATAAATGTTAACTGATTGAATGAATGAATACAGTTAATTAAAAGCTGAATAAAAGGCTGCAAGATGGAGGCTGCAAAGGGTAGAGGGAAAAAAAGTACTAGAACGGAAATGAACATGGTTACTTCCTATATACGATCTCATAGGGAAGTCATTTAGTACTCCTGTCCCTCTCTTTCTTCATTTATTAAATAAAGAAGCTGAACAAGATTACCTCAAATATCATTTCCATTTGTAAAATTTTATTAAAAAAACTGAAATGGTCATCATCCTATGTATAAAGTATACTAGTATACTGTATACTAGTATACGTATACTAGTCTGAGCAAAGGTTCTCAAACTTTAGTGGGCCTCAAGTTGCCTGGAGGGTTTGTTAAAACACAGATTGTTGGGCCCCACTCCTCACGTTTCTGATTCAGTATGTTTGGGATGAGACCCAAGAATTTACAATTCTAGCAAGTTCCCAGGTGATGCTGATGCTATTGGTCCGGAGTTCACACTTTAGAGAACCACTGCCCTATAGTAAGTGCCCATTCACCTCCCTTCCTATAAGTTGAGCTGTTTGATTATCAAAGGTCCCTTTCCCAAACCTATGTATTACAGTTGAAATTCTTTATTGTAGTTACATTAACTAATTATTATGTAAATGTATAGAGGGGAGTCATTTTCAAATTACCTGTTGAATTAGGTATGAGAATTCTGTAAAATATGGGAAATTTTTCATAAAAATCTAGGATTTTGAATTCCTTCCCAATTTAATTTCTCAGTGCAATCAAAAACTAAAAGTGAAAAGAGTAGGTGATGAATTATTGGTGTTGAACATATCATGGGCAAAATGGACATGAGGAAACTTTGGGGGTGATAGATACATTCATTATCTTGATTGTGGTATTGTACTAATCATTTCTTGGGTGCATAAACACGTAAAACTTACCAAATTTCACACTTTAAATTTATGTAGTTTATTGTTTGTCAATTATACCTTAGTAAAGTATATAAACAACACACAAACATACACACACACTCAACAAAACTGCTAAAATTAATAAGACTGACAAAACCAAATTTTGTGAGGATATGGAGCAATCATAACTCTCAAACATTGTTGGTAGAAATACAGAATGGTACAAACACTTTGGAAAAATATTTGTCAATTTCTTATAAAACTAAACCTACATCAGCTTATGACCAAGTAATTCCATTCCTAATTTGAAAAGTTTCATAAAATAAGATGATGGGGAAAAATCAGTTTGTAAGATAATAGTGATTCCATCTTTTTGCATATTTATGTATGTGTGTGTGTTCATGGACATTCATACATGAAGTACATGCATGCAAATATTTATTTATGTTGTATATTCCACTGCTCCCTTTCAATCAGATCCTTCCAACTCACTTAAAAAATACTCAAGTTCCTCCTATCCCCAAAAGATACAAAACAAACAAGAAATTCCCTCAAAATCCCATCCTCCATCAGCTACTACTAGGTCACTTTCGTTCGTTTTCAAAGCCACATTTCTTAAAGAGGTGGGCATACTTCCCGTGTCCGTGTCTTTACCTACTCCATTCTGGCTTGCGCCCCCAAAATTCCAGCAAAATGGTTCTTGCTCAAGATACCAATGATTTCCACGTCACTAGATCACATCATCCCTTGAACAATGTAAAATATTAAATTTACCTACTTTTAAATTTGAAATGAGGGAAGCAAACTTTATTTAGTATGTAAAACAAGCTTTTTTAACTTAATTTCATATTATAGCCAAGTTAGAATGTAAAAAAGAGGAAAACTTAAGGGATGATATCAGAAAAAAGGGAAAAAAGGATGAAGATAATACTATAGTTCAAATAGTAAATGCCAATGGTCTATTTTCATAGACCATTTGTACCTAATTCTACTGCATTTTGAAATTCTAGTGAACTCATTAACAATCGTTCACATTTCTTCAACCGGCTTAGTCATTATATCTATAGAAGGCCTATCTTAAATGGGTCTCCCAAACTGCCTATTTATGTAGAAATTATTCTCTGAGTTACAAGAACAATAACCAGAGAACCAGGTCCCCAAGAATCAGACTAATTCAGCTGAGTATCAAAATTAGAATGTAAACTATTTCCTAACCTTCAGAAGATGAGCCCTCAAAGACATTCATAGCACATAACACAATTCAAAGCCTTTCAATGATTTCAGTGTCAAGTAATATAAAATTGTACAGTAAAATCACTTTAAAAATAATCCTACGAAATGTAAAATAAAAGGAATTTCTTTGTAACATGGGCTTCAGAGATGAAAGCTAAATGAAGCTAGATGAAGGCTCAAATTTGAGCCTAAAATATCCAGAAGAATTTGAATTGTATTTAGTGGTTTTAGGGTGGGGGTTTCCAAACCACAGATCACTTTTTGTAGAACTCTCATGTTTCTGATTTTGAAAATGAACAGGCATTGGCTAGTCAAAGAAGTGTGGGAAAGAACATTCTAGAATGGGCAAAAACAGTAAAAGTATATGTAAAGATAGTCACAGAAAAGGTTTATTATTTATTTTCCTCTGGTATTCATCTGTGTATTTGGTCACAGATGGTAGTTTCCTGAAGTCTCCTTTCTTTATTCTTGCCATCTATTCTCCTGAGAAAGTAAATTTGTATTTTCCACAAGCAATTATTTAGCACCTTCAGTGTGCAAGCCTAGAACTACGTGCATTGCCTGGGCTTAAAGGAACAGAGAGTATGGCTAATGGTAATACACTATAATTATAATTATTTACCCTAGTTTTTACACCAGAGCTTTATACATAGTTGCATTATTTGGCTATTTTTATATTTTAAACTTAGTTTTTCACTTACCTTTGAGTTCCACTAACAACGGAGGTGTCATGAAGAATAAAATAGATTAAATTCAATTATAAGGAAGAAAACACAGGACTTAATCACAAACTAGATAAACACTCTTGAAAATCCAGAGTGATTGTGTAGTATAAAGTCTAGATTCAGAACTCTAATCTTTTTAGATCATAAACCTTTGTGGTAGGCAGCTTCTGACAGAGCTCCCAATAATCCCCACCTCTTGGTATCCACAACCTTGTTCAATCTCCCCCCTTAGAGTACAGGCTGAACCCAGCAACTTGCTTCTCAGGAAACAAGTATGGCAACAGTGAAGGGCTGTCTCTTCTGTGATTAGGTTACAAAAGACCATGACTTTTGTCTTACTAGTGCTCTCTCTTGCCCTCTCACTTGCTCTCCCCAATGAAGCATGCTGCCATTTGTGAGAAGCTCCACGAGGACACCCATGTGGCAAGGAACCAAGGGAGGCCTTCACCAACAGCTCATAAGAAACTGAGGCCTCTAACAACAACAACAGGTTGTTGAATCCTGCCAAGAACAATGCGAGCTAGGAAGTGAATCCTCTATAGTCCAACCTTGAGATGACTGCAGCCTTGTGAGATGCAGAGCCAGAGGACCCAGCTAAACTCTCCCTGGATTCCTGACCCACACAAACTGTAGTACAATAAATGTGTATTGTTTTAAGCTGCTAAATTTTGGAGTAATTTGTTATACAGCAATAGATAACTAACATAGATCCTCTCTACAGAAAAATAGATACACGTACAAATTCCGGCACACATTTAAGGGAAACAGGAGGCCACTCGGAAGTCCACCATGAGAACTCCTAGTGGCCCAGGGATCTCAGACTAAGAAACTTCTGATATGATAAACTCCAAACAATATGCACAAAGGGCCTGCAGAAAATCAATTTAACCATGCTATGTAGCTTAAGAAATGTCACAACTTTCCTTCCATAAAGTATTACTTTAAAGTATTAACCAGAAATTTAAACTACTTTAAACATAATTGATATCTTAATACTAGCATCACCAAAGGTAAAATCAAGCCAAGTTATACCAAAACATTATTGTGAACAATGTATATCATAGGTACTAAATAAGTACTGAGGATAAAATAATAACTAAACACTATCCTTAACTTTGGGACTTTACTGTCTAGTGGGTGAGACAAACACACAAACACACACATACACGAAATAGCTCTCATAAGAGTTGGGAGTACAGATAGAGATTTGCACACCGTATCCACTCATGTACATGAAAAATTGACTTCACTGAATTTTAATTATAAAGTAATTAAAATAAATACCTGTACTGTTTTTCCAAGTCCCATGTCGTCACCAAGAATACATCCTCTTCCTCGGATAAAGTGTCCATAGAGAAACTGGGCTCCTTTCCTTTGGTAGTCTCTCAAATATCTATTAATAGTATAAGGAATAGAATCTCCATCTTCAGATAATTGAAAAGCAATAGAGGATGATGGAAATTTTTGGTCTGGGAAATAAGGTTTTTCCAAATCTTCATCATCAAATATAAAATTCCTGGAGCAATCTTTAACAGATTTTACTTGCTGAAGTCTTTTAAGAGGTACTTTCCTTTCTTGAAAATCTGAATATAAGACGACTGCAAAGGACTTCCCATTTTCATCCACTGTGATAGATTTTATGCTTGCTTCACAAAGTTTTTCATTATCTGGAGAAGGGGCGAGACATCTTTCTCCTGGATGCCATATGTCTAAAATAATAAAGAAGAAAATAAAGTTTCCAATTCTAACTTATAAAGTAACACCTCACTATTCACTGCTATGAGAAAAAAATGTACGTCACATAAACACCCTTTCCAAATAACTGAAATAAGATAAATTATACTTACAACATGTAAAATATATTATCAGCTGTTCTTCTATAATAAGCAGAATAAAGAGCACATAATTTACTTCCAGTGGTTCTCACCCTGGCTGTGTGTCATAATCGCCCCATATATCCCTGGCCACTACCTCTGTTGATTCTGATTCAACAGATATGGCCCAGGGATATCTGGTTTTATTACTTTGTTTGGTTGTTATTGCTGAATTCACAAGGTGATTCTGATGCACAGCTAGAGCTGAGAACCACTGATTTAAATATTCATGATGACTTATGAACATTATGTATATTATTCATGATATGGTAGAGTAATAGTGAACAAGACTTGGTAATAAGTAAGCTAAAATCCTCTGGACAGCAATGCTTTTGTGATTCTTCTGTCTGATTTTCTAGTTATTCTATCTCCATTCTCTGCAGACAGCTGTTTCTTCCTACTGTCAATATCGCTGCTTCTAAACTGTTGCTTGAATTTGTATACAACTAACCAAGGGACTCTCCAACTCAGCTAGAGTGATGTGTACCAGCTTTGTCACAGCCTTTTCCCTTCTAGGTTTTGAAGAGTTGAGGTTCTTAAAAAAGAGATGGATTCTAAGATCTCTTTCTGCTAAGATCACATTATTCTTTGAAGAGTCTGACTTCTCTCTATATACGAATTTATTTATCCTTTACAGCTATCTATTTTATTTCTATTTAGACAATATAGCACTACGAATGGGAGGGGTGTCTCTATAGAGTATACTATTGGTACAATTAAAAGGTACCAAATAGAGGAAACTAAGTAAAAATAATTTTCCAAATGGAATTTCTTAAAGCAAGAATCGCAGAGAAATCATATGGCTACAACTATACAAATACTAGGAATTATTTTTCTCACACATTTCTCATTGAGATCAGACAATCATTGGTAGTTTCCTTGGGTCTTGCCAATGATTTCAAGTTAGGTTTTTATGACGTTCATGATTATAATATTACTAGTATGTCTGTACTCTCTTAGGCAAGAATAGCTCATTATGCTGTTCCTCATCAGTTGTTCCTCAAAAGTAAAACCATTATTACTACTAACTTCGGTAGGGCTATTTTACATAACAATCAGAAGTACAGAGAAAAATCTGTTCTCCCACTCTAATCTCTGGATCCAAACTGTTTGAGAACTGTTACACTATTCTGAAAGACAGAGGGTTTTTTTGTTTTTGTTTTTTTTTGAGGAAGATCAGCCTTGTGCCAACATCTGCCAATCCTCCTCTTTTTTTGCTGAGGAAGACTGGCCCTGGGCTAACATCTGTGCCCATCTTCCTCCACTCCACATGGGACGCCGCCACAGCATGGCCTGCCAAGCGGTATGTCCGTGCGCGCCCAGGATCTGAACCAGTGAACCCTGGGCCACTGCAGTGGAGCGCGCGCACTCAACCACTTGCGCCACCGGGCCGGCCCCTAAAAGACAGAGTTTTAATGTGAAATTAAAACTGTGATCCACTGTACAAGGATAACAGTCAATGGGCCCTATTTTCATAACAGTACTGTTTGAGCCTTAAAACCTAAATTAATCCCCATAGCAATTCTTAACACACTATTTTTGTTTCACATGACCTGTTTGCCTGTCCAAATGTCTTCTAATTTTTAGACTTTAATTAATAAACATATATGATTTAACACCAATTATTCACCAGATACTGTATCACACGAGTATAAAATGAAGAAAACCAGTGTCAAAAGTGATAGTGATTAAACCTTGCTCAGAACCAGTCTTTCCAAATCTCATTAAACGGCATCATCATCTAATCAATTTCCAACTTTTCAAGGTAGAAAACCTTAAGTCAGCCCTTATTCCTCTTTTTATATTACTTGCTACATCCAGTCCATCAGAACATCTTGCTAGTTCTACCTCAAAAATGTATCACTTTCCTCCATGCTACCATCTCTCTAAAACAACTATTGGCAAACTTTTTCTGTAAAGAATCAGGTTTTAGCTATTTGTTGTTTTAGATTTGCAGGCCATACTGTCTCTTGCCCTTGTAACACTAAAGTAGTCACAGACAACACATAAACAAATTGGCATGGTTGTGTTCCAATAAAACTTTATCTACAAAACATGAGTCAGGCTGGATTTGGTCTCAGCAGTAGTTTGCCAACCTCCGCCCTAAAGTATGCCACCTTTGGCTTTCTCCTAAATTACTACTATACACTCCTAACCATTCTCTCCTGCCACTATTTCCCCCCTACAATCCATTTTCCACATAGCAGCAATATTGACTATTTAAAAATATAAATTATTAGTAAATCTTTAACTTAAAATCTTTCAATAATTATCCACCTCACAAAGAATCAAGTCCAAACTCCTTACCATGGCCTATAAGTTCCTGTATGATCTGCCCCTATTTACCTCTCCAGCTTGATCTGTCAATTTTTCCCTTGACTCAAACATGCTAAGCAGGCCTTCTCTCAGCTGTTTTTACATTGTCTCCTCAGAGATTTCGTCTCGGACCACCTTATTTCAAGTAAGGTACTCCATTATTCTGTTCTCAGTATTTTATTGCCTGCATAGCATATATCACAATGTTTAATTATCATGTTTACTTGCTTTTATCTGTCTCTCCCACTAGAGAATAATTTCCTTTCCAAGAAAATGTCTGTATTATTCAAAATTTTATCTCCAGGACCAGCAAGCACACAGTAGGCACTCAATACACGTGCTGAATTTATTAATGAAAACAGCTCCTTGATCTCACAGATCCTTAATATCTAGTGAAGGAGACAGATACTAAAAGTTCACAAACATGAAACTGTAATTAAAGTGCTTTGGAAGAGGAGAACAGAGTGCTATGAGAAAGAGGTACTGAGCAAACACAATTTAAAAGGGAAGGAGATCTAAGACGAGTCTCTCAGTCAGGGTACAGCACATGCAAAAGCCCTATGGGCTTCACACAACAATTTACGAAAATCTATTTGGTTCCTGAGTTTGGACAATTTCTAGAACTAAATAGATTGAGTTAAGTTTCAGGTAGGGCTAGAATCTCGCAGTATTGACACTTTAGAACAAACAGCTTAAACTGGGAGGATTTCCTATTGGATTCACGGAGGGACTGGGGATAAAGCTTCTTATGATCTGGTCCCTGTCTTCCTCTTTAACTTCACATCCTAACCTCTCTCCCTCTTTCACTCCAAATTGCCTCCTTGCTACTCCTGAACCACGGCAAGCAAGCTCCCACCTCAGGGCTCCTGAGCTTTGTTCCTGATTCTTCCTCTTCATTTGGGGCTCTGCTCAAACGGCATCTCCTCAGGGGTGTTTTCTCTGACCCTCCAATCTAAAACAGCACTCTCTGCCTCTCTCTTCCTTTACTCGGCTTGATTCCATTTTCAGAGAAAAGTATGAATATCTGTTATTGTGTATCTCCTCAACTTAAATATAAGTTCCCTAGAGCAGAGACTTAATTTGTGTTCACTGCTATAGCCTGGGCACCTACAACAATCTTGGAAACAAATACTTGTAGAACTAAAAATATTTATAGATAGCTAACTTTTGAAGGCTTATGTGTGCCAGGTATGTGCTTTAGATGTAGTAGCTCATTTAAGCCTCACAACAACCCTTTTATTATTTCATGTAAGTAATATCATTAGTTCCATTTTACAAATGGTGAAACAGATAAAGGTTAACCAACTTGCCCATGGTCACACAACTGGAAAGTGGCAGAACCTGGATTTGAACCAAGCTAACTGATCTTGTAGCTACCAAGCTGTACCAGCTCACACATGAATAACCAACTCCCTGGAACTGAGTAGCTCCTGCCCCTTTTAACTGAGGTATGAGCATCCCAGTCATTATAATCTCCACTCAGCAGTTTCATCTTTTTCACCTACCACGTTTCTCTAGGTATTTACATTTGTCGTCCCTAAATTACAGTGTCATCAATTGCTAGCCTTCAGAGTTGAGGCTTGTTACTTAAATTTCTCTGAACTTGAGGTCTGAATTTCCTCATCTGTTTCATGAGATCGGTATCTTCCTCAAAGAAAAGCATGTAGGTAAACAATCAGCCTATTGCTGGGCACAGAACAAGCACTCAATATCGGGTAGCTTTTGTTACATCACTATTAACAATGAAAGCCATTAATTTGGGAACAAGAAGGCATCCTAGAGGACCTGTGGCAGATAACCACACCCTCCTTAAACCCTCTCTTGGTGAGACATTAAAGGTGGAATATGAGACCCTGACGCAGTACATCATATATTAACTTCTTTGTGTAATAAGTAAACTGAACTAAATATCTCAACCTTTATTCATCTACTTAACAACAAACTTCTACCATTCACTCGGAACTGGAGCATACAAGTATAAACAATAAAAATACCAAACATTTACTAAGTGCTTACTATAGGCTAGACGCTGGATCACATAAGTGCTTGACATTCACCAGCTCACTTAATAATCACAAGAACTCAGCAATGATCTCACTTTGACAGACGAGGAAACTGCCCAGTTGCTCAGCAAGTAACTGTCAGAGCCAGTACAGATCCAAGGGCAGTCTGACTCCACAGTCCAGGTTCACAACACTGATCCTAACAACAGGTCCTAGCCCTGGAGGGGGTTCACAATCTCCAGCTGTCACTCAGAAGAGCCACAGAGTAAAACCCCAACCCCACGGGAACTGGCGGGAACGGGTCCCACCCGGCGCAGTGAAGACAGGTGTCGGGACAGAGAGGCGAGCTCGGAGCTTATACCTTTGCCGGTGGTTTCCGCACGGGGCTTCGGGGCAGTGAGCTCCATCTGGCCAGGGGGAGGGGCCTGGCAGCCTGGTTGCATTTAACGCCCGACCGGCGGCGGAGCACGGGGAAGAGGCGGGCTGGCGGACCGCAGCCAACACCCCCTCCCACTGCCCTCCGAACATCGCCCCCCGGGAGCCCGACGCCACGGGACGGGAGGGAGCAAAGGCGGAGCCCGCGGGGGTCCAGGGAGGAGGGATGGCGGCGTCCGAAGCAACGGCAGAGCCGGAGGGCGACGTGCAGGCTGGCAAGGCGGCGCTCACCTAGTCGTCCTGGGCTCCGCCACCGGCGGAAGACCGAAAGCGGGCATACCGACCCCTCATCCTCCCTCTCGGTGTCGGCCCTCCCTCTACCGCCCACGGCAACTTCCAACCTGACTCGGAAAATCCCGCGAGAACGGGCTCCGAACTGTCATCGGAATCTCGCGAGAACAAAATCTTGGTTTACATGGGCGGAGCAATCTTGCTGCCTTCGCTCCCCGAGGACACCTGTAACACAATGTCCGTGGTAGTTGCAAGTACCGCGAGGTTTGATGTGGCTTGCCCGCCTGGAGCGGATCTTGTGGCTAACGAGAGAGGCGGGGGGGTATTCGTGGGCTTGCACCTACTGCGGTCCGTTAAGGGCCAGTAGGAAGGGTGGCGGCCTAGCAGGAGACCGTCGTTCCCGCGATCGTGGCCTTCTGGCTTCTCTTTGTGCTTGGTTCCTTCGTCGCGTTGCCGCACGCCTAGCAACGTGAGGAGGCAGCGAGTCCCTCGTGGCATGCCGCCTCTGCCTGTGGACGCCGGCGCCCGGGACACCCGCGGGCGGCCGAGAGCTTAGCACGCTCTCTGGGGTCACGCAGCAAGACATAGGAAGTCATAATTAACTGTGAGTGCAAAACCAGCCACACGGGCCATTATTGGAAGGCAAAGGTAAAAATACTATGAAATTTAACGTTTTTCCGTGTACCATCTGATTGTGTCAACGGTTTGTATAACACATTGCCGGAAGACGCTAAGCAAACCATAAAGCTGTTCTTGTAAGCATCTTCAGGACAGCCTGCCACTAGCAGGTTAATGATACTGCTTATCTAACACTTTTCCAGATGTTATACATTGATTAGTCCAAAAATGGGTCCTGCATGTGTTAGAATGTTTTCCTATACTATACAATATTTCATTGAACTAGGTTAGCCTGAATGGGCCTGTGTTAGTTCCTGTGGCTGCTGTAACAAATTACCACAAACTTAGTGGCTTAAAACAGCACAAAAGTATTATGTTACAGGCAACACAAGTTTATTATCTTATAGTTCTGTAAAGTCAGAAGTCCTGCACGGGTCACATTAGGCAAAAGTCAAGGGGTCACCTGGGCTGCATTCTTTTTTGGAGGCTCTGCAGGAGATCCGTTTCCTTGCCTTTTCTAGCCTCTATAGGCTATACACATTCCTTGGCTCATGGCCACTTTCCTGCCGTCTTCAAAGCCAGTGATGTTGCATCTCTCTGACCCTTCCATAGTCACTTCTCCCTCTGATTGCAGCTGGGAAAGATTCTTTGATTTTAAGGGCTCGTGTGATAAGATTGGGTCCACCTGAATAATCCAGGATAATCTTCTCCTTTCAGGGTCTTTAATCACATCAGCAAAGTCCCTTTGCCACATAAAGTAACATATTCATGGGTTTCAAGGATTAGGATGTGAACATCTCTGGGGGATCGTTCTTCTGTCTACCACAGGATCTTGTGAGGAAAACTATATGGCTATTTGCTCTGCAAATAGATATCCATTCTTTGACAAATACTAAAAGTTAACGGTATGTTTTCATAGAATGCTTCATCTAGAATAGCACTTGCTTCTGTACCAGCAGGTAAAAACTTTGTGTCCATGAGAAGCATCTAATGCATCCACTGTGCGTGAGATGTTGGCCCGCAGGTAGTTAAGAGGTTAAGTCATTTAAACTCACTGCTTCTGTATCCTCACCCATGACAGCAAAGAGGCTGATAATAGTAACCTACCTGCAAAGGCTTATTGTAAGGATTAAATAAGATAAGTAGTAAAGACTATATGTATTGCTATTACTATTGTTTTCAATGGACTGCATCCACTTGAAAGTTGCATTCTGCATAGCCATTGCTTCAGTTTAATATTTTGGCTAATAGTAGTACATTACTACTTAGATTAGAATTATAGACTAGACTCTAACTTAAAACACCGTGGATCCTAAGGCATATTATTTAGGTACAGCTGAAAAAAAAGAAAAACTATTCATTATAATTGTAACTCTTGATTTTAACACGCATCCTGATATTGGAAATTTTTTAATATAGAAAAAAATCTGCATTTTGGAATTGATGAAATATATCTGTTTTACTTAAACTGTGTTCATGTTGTCTCTAAAACAGTGGCAATTAGAAATTTCAATCAAGCTTACTTTTTTTTCTACAATGACCACAGAGGAAGTTTGATTTTTTTCTCCCAAGGAAATGACTAATTGTATAAAATTGTATTTTTCTAGGGGTCCACTGATTTAGGATGTTGATCCTTAAAGAGCTGACCTCTAAATAGAAGTGATAAGACAAATTCAGAAGTAAATTTTGATTTTAGTGAAAGAGATCATCTGGTTGAAGGGAATACTCATGACTAACAGAAGAGGAAAGGGCCTCAATTTCTGAATATGTATTAAACCTCACCACCGTGGTTATGGTGCATAGTGAAGTGGAAATAATCATGACATAAAAATATGTTTTAGTGAATTAAATGTTTCACAAAATTAGACATTCTTAAACATTCCTTCTCCATTCAACAGTAGCTTTTGTCTGAGCCCATTGCAATGACATCCTTGTCTAGGTGCTGATGTTGTAAACATTCAACACTATAATGCTAATCACTGCAAAGTGAAATTGAAAGTCTTGCAAAGTATTCGGGAATTCCTGAAGTCAATGTAAAGGATGTTGGATAACTAAATCACCTGCAAAACCATTGGCAAAGGAGGATCTAGCAAAATTAAGCTTATTAAAACTACAAAAAGACAAAAAACAAGATGATGACAATATAGGCATTTCAAAAGAATATTATTGTCATAAGCCACATAATAATATTTTGGTCAATGAGAGACCCATATACGATAGTGATCCCATAAGATTAGTACCATGTAGCCTAGATGTGTAGTAGGCTATACCACCTGTTTGTGTAGGTGCGTTCTGTGATGTTCATATGATGATCCTAACGATGCATTTCTCAGAACGTATCCCTGTCATTCAGTGACACATGACTATACTTGCATATTAAAGAGATCCTTGAGAAAGGTGATTAAACTTTCTAATATTTTACCAAAAAATAGTCTTTCTTTATGTTCACACTGAAAAAGTCAAATATATATCTATATGTGGTTCATAGACTCCAAAATTGTGAGTTAATCCAGCAAAATGGCTCAAGAAAAAAATAAGTATATGTCTTAGTCCATCAGGGCTGCTATGACAAAATACCACAGACTAGTAGCTTATAGACAACATAAATTTATTTCTCACAGTTCTGGAGGCTAGCAGATCCAAGATCAAGGCATCAGCATGCTTGCATTCTGATGAGGGCCCTCGTCCTAGTTCATAGCTGGCACCTTCTTGCTGTGTCTTCACGTGGTAGAAGGGGCGAGAGAGCTATGTGGTATCTCTTTTTTAAGAGCACTAATCCCATTCAGGCAGGCTCTATCTCATGACCTAATGACCTCCCAAAGGCCCCACCTTCCAATACTGTTACATTGGGTATTAGGATTTCAGCAAATGAATTTTGATGGGACACAAACATTCAGACCATAGCAATATGAACACCAGAAATCCACAAATAAGACAACACAAGAAATGGAGTCTTAGACCTTTAGTTAGATGATTTTAGGTTGTAGCATTTCTCCCTTGATATGCTGTTCCAGCTGTTGTATCAAGGGAAGAAAGGAATAGGGAGGAAGAGATGAGTGAAGGCAATGTAGAGATGGTAGAAATAGATGTGTACTTCTTTGCTAATAAGTAACCTAAACCTTAAAGTTTAAAAGTTGACGTTGCACAACTGCACAAATATACTTAATATTACTGAACTGTACACTTAAAACTGGTTAAGAAGGTAAATTTTATGTTATGTGTTTTTTGTTTTTTGTGTGTGTTTTTTTTACCACAATTAAAAAACAAAACAAAAGAAAAAACTGAGGTCAACAAAAGAACAGTTTGCGGTTTGAGCCAGTAGAGTGAGTGGCAGGTTAATGTTAGGAATATGACGAGTATTATTACATCTTGAACCTTCACCAATGTCATTTTTACTTCATGGACTCGTTAAATATTAGAACTTGAAGAAATCTTAGGGCTCTCTTGATCCACTGCTCTAATTTAAAGATAATAAAATAGTTTGAGAAACGTTACGTTATTTACCCAAGGTGACAAATAGCAAATAACAAAATCAGGACTAGAACATGATTCCTGATTCTCATTCCAATATGATAGGTATATAAAAATATTATTTCACAGAAGATATTTTTAGATTTGAAAACATAAAACCTGTGATTCTATTTTATTTCATATTTCATATCTCATATCAGATAATAAGCCTAAAAATCCTACAACAAAACACCGAGTACTGCAGGTTGAAATTTGTTGTTGTTGGTACCATCAAGTTGATTCTGACTCCTAGCGAGCCTGTGTACAGCAGAGCAGAAACTGCCAGATCTTTTTGTGCCATCCTCTCACCTTCCAGTGCTCTATCAGACAATGCTCTGCTCTTATTCCTAGGGTTGTCATGGCCAATATTTTAGAAGTAGGTGACCAGGTCCTTCTTCCTAGTCTATCTTAGTCTGGAAGCTCTGCTGAAACCTGTCCACCATGGGTGACCCTGCTAGTATTTGAAATACTGCTGGCATAGCTTTCAGCATCACAGCAACACACAGCCGTCACAGTATGACAAATGAGAGATGGTGATGTGGTTCCCTGACTGGGAAACGAACCCTGGCTGTGACAGTGAGAGCACTGAATTTTAACCATTAGCCCACCAAGGCTAGCTGCAGGTTGAAATACTTTTATAAAAATATTCAAAATATATAGCTGAGCTTGCAAAAAAGTATGTAAAATACTCATAGGCCAAAAATAAGGAGGGAGCTGAGAACTAGATTATTAAACTGGCACTATGCCTCTGCTATCCTGGAGGCATTTGCCCATCTCACTTACCAAAAGATCTGAATTTTAACAGTCTTGTGAGAACAGAAGACATGGACTTAAGCTCTCATAAGATCACAAATTAGAACTGAGACTCTCATTTGAAGTCAGAAACCTTGAAAGGTAACACCCTCAGTTAAATAGTGGGCTAGAAGAAAAATCTGGAGAGCAGG